TGGTGTCTGGGGTCAAACACTCCACACCTGCTCTTCATAGGAGCTGCCATCTCTGGTGCAGCTCGTCTTGCTTTCAGGTAAGTGCCCAGCGCTCAGCCGTGTTGGAGACCCCAGATTAGGGGGCTTTTCGAAGTATGTTAGCCAAAGTTACTGTACCCTGTAGTGTCAGCTTCCTGTTGTTCGGGGTAGCTTTAGAGGGGACTTCGGGTCGTGAGTGAGAGGAGCACTGGCTGGATGGGAAAGGGGCAGGGCAGTCTATGGTGCGGTTTTTTTGGCTTTGCTTTTCCTGGCGCAGCAGCGAGTGCTCTCATGGAAGCCTGCAGATGCCTTCTGCCCTTGTATTTTTACAGGATTTATCATGCCATTCAAATCACACTTTAAAAAATGTGACAAGTTAGCACCAAACATACGGCTTTGAAAAAAAGTCCTGGCTCCAAGGAGCCACAGGCTCCTGGAAGAGTTGTACTTTGGTGTGTGAGTGCTTCTCTTTAATTAAAATGAGCATAAAAGAAAATGTGGCAGCCCGTCTGCCAGTGCAGCTGCTGGCCAGCCTTGGCTCCAAGGGCCCCCCAGACACACACAGCACCCACATGGTTGGTGTATGCACCATTTTCCTTTTTCCAGGGTGAAGGTAGTTCCTGTGCAGGGCTGGGTTTGGTCCTGGCTCCTGTGATGGCTATCACAGCCCAAAGGGTGAGTCCCTTGGACAGCCCCCTGCCCCCCCGGCACTGAAAGCTGTGTGTCTGAAGCTGTGTAGCCCTGCCAGCACAGCCACGAGCTCAACCTAATGAATTAATGCTTGTCAGTGAAAATTATTTGCTTAATGAAGATGGTTTTGATGGGTAAGCTGTTTCTGTACATTTGGAAAGCTAAAATTTTGAGAGCAGTGGAAGGACATGTTGAAGAGCAGAGTTGAGAGGTCTTGAACGTGGCCAGGTCAATTTAAATGTGATTACTATTTGTCTTGTCATTAAGATGGGCCCTGTATTTTAAGAGTTAGGTTTCTAACTATGTAATTTGATTTAAAGGTCCTACAGCTCCTTACAACCTTGATACATTTACCATGTGACTTATTATTCATTTCTGTGGAAGGAACAAAATGCTGTTATCTGTAAAGCACAGTGTAATCCCATAATGTCTCTAATAGGACTGCAACTGTTTAAAATAGGTCTGATACTAAATATCTGTGTCAAGTTTGCTGAGGAGGTGTACGAGTTTACCGTGGCAAAACAGTGTGTCTGTATGTCTTTTCTTTTTTTCCATTTTCCTTCTGAAGTACTAGACTGAAATTAGGCAGAAAAATCTGTTTTTCTGGAAAACTAAATAATCAGTTAAATTTGCAATATTATTCAATCTTTCCTAATCCTACCAATCAGGATTTTTTTTTTAATGTCTTTTTGAGTGACTTTTTACATTTCAGGGAGGTAAATGAGGCATGGGGAAGTCTGCAGCCTCACAGGTTTAGCCCAGAGCCTGCCTTTAAAGGTCTGCTATTCTGCTTCTGGTCCCCTGCAGACAAGGGATTTAGTGCCGTGTGCTCTCTTCTTCCCCTTGCTCCTTTTCTCCCAGTTCTGCTTTGTCTCTTTCTATGGCCACATGAGCTGGAAGGGGAGAATAGCACAGAGCTCAAGGAATGATAGTGAAGATATTTTTAGCCAGAGTAGAAGTTTAAGTGCTGGAAAGGAAAAACACAGTGAAAAAGCCCTGTGAATACTTGACTTGGTCTAGTATCACCTGCTGCCTCTTTTTGGCACAAAAATCTGCTCCTATCTCATGTTGCCTCTGCTGATGAAAGTTGTGACTTTTGATTATTTTTCCAATTGTGGGTGAAAACTTGCAAAACATATACTTTATCGTATATATATATTTATGGGTTTTTAAATATATGTGAGAGAGAATCAATGTACTCTGAAACTCTGATTGCAACTTCCTGACTTTTCAATAAATGTTGGTTAAACCTTATACTTTCTATAGTATTGATTCCCCCTGTTCCCAGGTTATTGGCTTCATGGCAAATAATGTTTAGGTTTTTGTTTGTTTTAATTCCCATTGAAGGGTGTGTTATTGTGCAAAACTGTCCCTTCTTGGGATAGATATAAGCGTAGATGAAATGTCAGTGTTTCTTCAATCTGCTGCCGCTTCCATTTTCTTCCTCGTTTGTCTGAAGCTGCCAGGAAGGGGAGGGGAAAAAAAAAAAGGTGTGTCAAGATTGCTGTTAATATTTCTTTACTTCCCAGCTGTAGATGCACATTTAAAATAGCATGACTCATCTTATACATCCTTTGATCTCCTATGATTGCTTTAAAATGTTGCTTCCCAGCAGGCACAAAGTGGTTTTACTTTCATTTGCAACTCTCCTCAAAGTTTCTAGGCCTAACTTTGAGAGAAAGTAAAAAAGAAAGAAAAATAAATCAGCCTGGCTGAAAGTGGGGAAAATTTCCCTTCAGCTGTTATGATAATAAGTTTTGGATGACTGCTTTATGACAGAAAAAAAGTTGTTTTTTTTTCTCTGTTTACTTTGATTGTGTGTTTGGGGGTGGGTTTTTTTGTTCTTTTTCCTTGACTTTTCTTTCTTTTTTCATTGCAAGTCTCTTCTTAGGGAATCTTTCCCACCCCTTGTCATATATTATTATTTACGGAGAAACTTAGATGCATGTGCAGTGGGGAATGTGTTCTTGTAACTGCAGTTTTCCAGATTTTGAATACAGGTGGGTCTTCTGTTTTTTGATGAAACAAGAAGTCTTAATCTTTAACTGCACTTTAATCCAGCAGCTGATTCTAGCTAGAGATCTGTAACTGAGGCTTGTTTCAAAGAACAATATGAAACGTAACAAAAATGTGAAGTGCACATCAGTTCTGTTTAATGCATTTGCATTCCTTTTTGTTTTAATTTAAATCTGGGAACTTTGCCTTTATTTCCTGTTGTGTTTTGAATTTCTGAAACAGAACAAAGTGATTACATACAATTTGAAGTAGCTGTCTCTAAGGTAATCTTATTCTTGGAGGTGAAAGATGCCAGTTCCAGCTTCTGAGATGTGGAAGGGGAGCCTTCTGAGTCCTAGGTGCCCTTGAGCTGGTAGCACATCTCCTGTTGCCTGTTTCCTCATCTGTAGACAGGGTCTAGTGCCTTTCCTGACTCTGTTTCCCACCTCATTAAATGCTTCAGGCATGTTTTCTTGTTGTTCAAAGATAATGATTTACTATAGCGTCCTGTGAAATGCAGAATGCTTTCCTTTCCTCTCCTGCTGTGCTTCTGAGGGCTGAATCAGCATCTCAAAACGATGGCATGTCCCTCCGTAGTCCCTAATACCCACCTGAAAACGACTCATGGATGCTTTATGGAATGAAGCATCTGGGCCCTCAGGCATTCGGGATTTCTCCTCTGCTTTCAGGACGAGTTTCATGAGAATAACTTTTCTAGACAGTGATGGCTGGAAAGGATGATGCAGATATGTGTGCTGTGAGTTCCAGTATTGTGAGAAAACAGGAAAATGTAGGAGGGTATAGTCTCTAACAACAGCAATAATGCGTGAAGCTTTGGGTTTTTCTCATCAGCTTTCTCTTTGGCTTGCCTCAGGGCTGGGCTTCAACATTGTTGGTGGGACAGATCAGCAGTACATTTCCAATGACAGCAGCATCTATGTCAGCCGGATCAAAAAGGATGGGGCAGCTTACCTTGATGGCCGATTACAAGAAGGAGATAAAATTTTAGCGGTAAGCCCTTTCTTCTGTTGCCCCATGTGTTCTTGAAGCGCTGTGATCAGTGATGTGATATGAGATGCAGGTTTGCCATTGCAGTGCACAGAGAGATAGGATGTGATGAATGTAATTAGATGATGCTGAGCAAACTTCATGGAAGGAGCTATCTTGAGGGTCAGGGGGCAGCTTTGAGCACCAGGGAGATGGTTGCCTCTACACATGGGCCCATCACTTCTGCCTTCTTTACTTGTCTTAGAAGCAGTCTTTGGTGCTGTGTTTGCATTTTCTCTGTGACTTATTCCCTAAGATTTTAGAATCCATCAGACCTTCTCTTGCCCCCAGTGGGTTGTCATTTACACATGTGTAAATAAAGGAATTGGTCTCCTACGTCTAAGTTTCCATTTTTTGACTGGTAGTCAGTGATTACTGATCCTTGTGCTCAAGGGGATTTTTAGGCTGTAAAACTTCTATGCTATAAAACTGTTTATTGCAGCTGATCAGGAATAATACAGGCTGCTTCTCCTTTTATAAAAATGTTTTAAAGTGACTGAGGTCCAGCTCCCCTGGTTCTTCAGGCAGTTGGCAATTGTACAAGACAATATGCTTTACAAAGTGATGAGTGAAGAAGTAGCCTCTCAGTGTGATACATGATCTTTTAATACTCCTTCATTTTATTTTATACTTGCTTATTACATTCCACATGTAATCTTTTTAGCCTCTGTAGAGTGCCTTGCACTGGTTGGAGTCTATTATCAATTCAGAAAATTATATTAAGTTAAATGGAGAATATTATCCTATCTTTTCTTGCAGTTTAATATTTATGTACTTGTGTATGGGGATTCTAAATATCAAGAGAAGAGAGGCACTGGATATGATCTCAGGGGATAGAATTAGGGGTAATGGGGATGGAAAAGAAATTAGGATGAATATCATCAGTTAGTGAATGAAGTCAAGTATGTTATAAAAACTCCTGCCATTATATATTATTTTAAATTAAGAAAAATTCAACACTTTTAAGTGGATGCCAATATGTATGTAAGTCTCATTTTGTTAATCAATATGCTTTTAAACGTATGTTTACAA